GGAGATATCGGGAATATCTGTCAGCGATGGGTGAAAAGAACTACACACATGTCAACAAACTGTTGGCTGATTGGCTGAAAATGGACCAGTGGTAGCTACATCAAAATGAAATTCACTATTAACAACTATACAATCCATTCAGCTCATTTTATAGGAGCTATACACTATTTGCTTGTATCTGGTTTCAAATACGTAAATAACCAAAAGTAGCTCATTTAAGACATTTATCTGGTGCGACTACAAGGTTAACACTAGGGCTAACACACAAATAATGCGTGAACACTCCCAAAATGCTGTTGACCCCAACAAGCAGAGCACACTGGCAGCAGCATGATGCGCCAACAACTAATGAGCAGCTGTGACTGAAAGCTGTAGCAGTACATGTCATTTTTCCAGCACTTTACAGTTTACATCCTCCATCTTCTTACTTTATTTTATTTAATGGTTTATTTATCAGGGACAAGGGACAACACATTTTTTACACCAGATATAAAGCAGCTTAAAGCATTTTCATCTGTGGCCCCTGGACAGGAGGCACGCAGGCTGATGCAGTGAGAGATTTAACAGTAACACACAGCTGCAGTAATATTAGACATATTAACATGGAGCAGTAGCATGGGAACATACCTGGACCTGACTAGAATGAATCCACATTCAACCAGGATTGAACAAGGTATTGCATTGGCCACTAGGAACAAAGCTGACTCCAGAGGACGTGTATTGTTCAGTAAATAATCCAATAAGTGTTTTTTCCATCATGAGGGTCTTCTTGTGACCATGCTCATTATGCTTAAAGAGGCATTTCCTCTTGTTGTCATGGGTTTTGAGACTTTTGCCATTCATTGAAAACCGGTGTTAAAGCAATTTGTCCTGCCTTTAAAACTCCCTTCAAAAATAGTGACACTCTGGTCAGAAGGACAAATGCTTCCAAATGCTAAATTTGACATGTGTGGCTGTTTGTGTAATTTTGACTTTTCAGTGGTCACACTCACACTTTAGTGATGCTTCTGTCAGAGATGCAAAGTTAACTCATGTATAATTACACAAGTATATATATATGCAAATCAAACATATCATAAAGAACATTTATGATATAGTTTCTTAACAGCACTTCAATCTATAGCCTCATACATGACCATAACTTAAAACATCAGTCTCAAAAAACAAATATCATGAGCTTCGCCAAATTGGCGTCTACTGCAGGGCCAATGCAGTGAATTATAAGGTGTTGAACTCATTTTGAGCACCAGCATGTTTACCATTTGCAAACTTAGGACACCTGTGAGCTTGAGAGAAAGATGTAGATTAGATGTCAAAGATCTTGTGGAGGTGCTTGGGCACAGTGGCCTCTGCTGGGTGGTAAAGGTACTGCACACAGGGGTAGAAGAATGATAGAAATGTGGAGCCCTGAGATTTATTCAAGAATGGGCTGATGATCACTAATTAGTTTAATCCTGTATTAATCTATGTGCTCCTGCTCATGCTTACCTTATGATAATGAATCGCAGTCAGCCAACTGTTGTGGTGGATTATAATTGACATGGACAGATCCCAACTGCTTCCTGGGGAGAGGCTGTAGGATGCATCTGTCCTGCCTTTGCACAGCTGCTGGAAAAATGATGACAGCAATGTTTGGCTTTTTAATTGAACTGAATTGAACTGTGGTGGTGTTTACCAAATTGAATCAGATGCCAGTCATGAATGTACACCTGAAATGTTTTTACGTAAAAGGAATGAAGTATACTCCCTCATACAGTCAAATTAATATGATATTAATTAGCATTACTGAGGTAACAAAACACACTGAACAGAGCAGAAGCTGAGAGCAACAAGAGAGCTCTCAGCGTGTCCTCCAGCCAAGACAAGCAAAACAAACACTAAGAGGACACTAACATCTATTAAAATCTCTTACTGTTTGAAGGCAAACTTTATTACAATATGGAAGCACTTTTATATTAATACGTGTCAACCACAGAGAGAACAAATGAAACGGGTGTTTCCCAAAACAACAAACGCCATTGTCGAAAGGCAGAGCATGCAGCCTACACATACAGTAAGTGATGTTTTCCCATAAACTGCGCTCAAAGACCTCGCTACAGCTATTTTCAGTCTGTTTAAAAGTAGACAACCTCTGATATTAATCAAGTAATTGCTAACAGAGTCTCCATGATGCAGTTTTAGCGTTAAGCGCCGAGAAGCAGAGACTGGCCATTACAGTGGAATAAAATGATCCCATTTAATTCATCTCTATTGAGTGGCCTAATGGCCTCCTAAGTCAAGAGTGTGTGGAGCTGTTTCAGTGCATTTTATAGGGTAATTGAAAGGCTTTTATGTCACAAAGTGTTTGGATCCAAAGCTAGTGCTGTCAGATTAAGTCTGACTCTGACAGAGCATTATAAAGAGGGGACATTTCACAGAGAAGACATGAAAGCCCTTCTTGGATCTTAAACGATAACTTTAATCTTTGAGCCAAATTTTCCACAACAACCTACAGATAGACAGGGCTTATATGTCATCAGTACAGTTTTTGGCAGATCATGTTACTGTATTCTGACACAAAAAAATACTTGTGTGTGAGAGTGGCAGTTAAATCATGATGCCAGCATGAAGCAGCTTTTGGTATGTCAACTTGTTACAGTTCCACATTAAATGGGATTAGAGAGGAAGTTTTTGCTTGGGGGAACAACTAAATCTGGAACGAAACCAGGAAAAAAACAAAACATTTATCATACTTTAAAATGTGCTTTTCTCTGCTCTAAATCAAATTCAGTTACTCCAAGACATCTTGATCATGTCTCTCCTTCTGTTCCCAATAGAATTTCCTATCAAATTATTTCAGTATGAAAAAAGTACAACCTCTAAATAAATGGCAAAACAATTCCCATGAGACCAGAGCAGGCTTGAGAAAAGCCAAACCCCCCCCAACTAACCAGCAAACCAACATCATCCTCCATCACTGCCATGTCATGACATCACCCTGCTTCCTCTCTACTGGTGTCCCTGTGGTCTGGACTCCTAATTCTCTGGCTCAAACACTGATGCTCTCAAAAGGGCTGGGCGACTTAATCCAAAGACGAGAGACAAGAAAATAATAGCGCTCAGCTTTAGAGAGGTCCTGTTGCTCTCTGTCTCTCTGCAGCGTGTCAATGTGAATATTTGCCGCCTGAAGAGAGCTGTGATATAACCTGACATTACACAGCTCGAATTGCCCCCAAATTAGATAGAGTTAGTTTGCTTTGGCTGAACTCACCGTGCCACAAAAACCTGGGCACTGTATAAACACCAGAAATGTCTCTAATGACAGACACATGGTACTGAAATGTAACCCGGAGCTAGAGACAATCACTGTCATTTAGTGTTAGAGCAAATCACTGTGGACCATTAACACCAAGACCAGCACGGACCTACACCAGTGGTAAGGGACCAGTTTAGGGACCATGAATATAAGGGCCAAGAATTTAGCCTACATGTGTTTAAAAACTTATTGATATATATCTGGTTGTATTGCCATCATCTACAAAACTGTTAATTTAGTGCAATACAGTCCACATTTTATACTTACAGTACATATTTTTTTGGCCATTTAGGTTTGGCCTTCAGCTTCATATCAGGTTTCAGAGAAAATTAAAACAAACCCCAAGATTTGTAAAACTTACTTGGTTTTAAAAAATTGTGGGAAAAAAAAATCAATCATTTTGCTTTTGCAAGGCAGAATATTTAAGATGTTCCACTGAGTCTGGGAAACTGAGATGGACATCATGTTTCACAATTTTTTTTTTTAATATTTCATAGACTAACATATTAATCAAACAGAACTATCTGATTAATTGATAACTAAAATAATAATGTTATTCATTATTTTATTACCTTTAATGGACTAAATTATTAGCCTTATCAATTAACTGAGGAAATATTAGGCAGATTAATTGATTATGAAAATATTTGTTTGTTACCCAAACTGCCGATTGAAAAGAATCATCACAGTTTGATCTCTTAATTCAACTTTGACCTTATGCACTAGTAAGCTAGTTGATAGCTAGCTCATCATTTGAGTCAAATGAGGAATTATTGCCAACATTTCAGCATTTCAACAATTAAGTGGTTAGGATAATATGGTTCAAGTGTTGGCTTGTCTAGAATCTAAGAACTTATTATTTCCAGGCCAGACGTTATCCCCAAATTCTCACATTCAAGCATAGCGTGTAACATGTAAAATGTGTTATCATAACTGATAGAAACAATATACAAAGCTACGGGAACAAACCAAAACAAAATTTCACAAATTACATTTTAAAACTATGGCTCCAAGAAGCCACACCAGCCGTCATGAGACTATACAAAGGCCCTTGCTGGAATTAGCAAAACTACCTCAGGCCCAACTGTAATTAATGATATTCACTACACCTGTGCTTTTCCTCACGACAAGTCTGATGTGAAAAAGATTTTACTCCACAAAGTTAGCACTTTATGACAAAGCCATGCAGCCAACCGTTCATCTTATTTTTTTCCATATCAAAAAGCATTTTTGAATAGTGAGCATATAAAGTCATATTAAGGGTAATATTAATTGTAATGCGGGGTTATATCGTCAGATTGAAAAAAAACGAGGACGTGGGAGAGCAAAAGAGGGTAGAGAATGTGACCAACGTTTGACTGTTGAGAATATAAAAGTTAGCAAAAAGGACACTAGCAGTGCATGAAGCCTACCATCCTCAAGAGCTAGGAGAGCAATTCTGAGCAGTTTTTACAAATGTAAACCCTGTAAAATTATCACCCTTCTGTATTTTGTAATTATATTCAATATTTTTACCTTTCACTTTCCGTGGGCTCGATCCAGCTGTAGCGTCACTATACATTTAACGGTATAATAGAAACTTTTCCACTTCTCATCGACTTCCCTATATTTCCTGCAATTTCCACAGTCGCACTCTCGTTTAGTGATCCATGTGGGTTCCCGTACTTGACGGAGCATTCGGTTTCAGTTTCAGGAAGTAGCCGCACTCTCACAACAACGGCGAGGAAACCAGTTCTCTTGCCAAATAATGACACATTTTCCAAAATTGCTTCTTAAATGTGATGCTAACACAGGATACTTTCAATGTGCATTCAATCCGCTATCTGGTCAAAGTTTACTACCGGGAGAGTTACGACTTTTTTGTTCATTTCGACTACTTTGCTAACGTTTGTAGCAGGGTGTCAAGTTAGCCAAACAGCTAATGTGACAGTAACTTCAGCTGGAACAAGATTCACAGCAAGTGTTCATACATAGAGGTGGGTGAATAAGTTGATGGCTAGTTGGCCTGTTTACTGTGCTTAGTGTGCAATTTGCTGTAACAGTTGAGAAAAAATTTCACCTTAATTAGCACCAGATAGGTATCCAATAACCTGTGAACAATGGAATGAAAGTGTAGTAGGCGACTTATTAGTGAAAAATCTTTCAGACCAGGCAGCATTTATAGTTTTTTATAAGTTGTAATTAATTGCTTTATTAATTGTCAATATATCATTTGATAATCCTTTGCACATCAGTTGTAATCCTTTGGGGTTGCCAGTTGTTAAAAAAAATCTCCTCCTGCATGAAACTTTGCTTTTCTGTTAAGCTCTTTCATTTATCAGGGAGACATCTCTAATGGACTGTCAACCACTTATCCTCCTGCCAAAGGTCTGCAGGACATCTTGGTCAAAATCCAGCTTATTAACATTTACAACTGCAGACTTGATGGATTATTATGCGAACCATTTTTAATGATTTTGTAACATTTATAATTAGATGTGACAGACCTACTTTTGCAGCACTTTCCGAGAAAGCAAGTGGTCAAATGGTCCATTGCAGGGGTCTCGCTAATGAATAAAAAAAGAACCTTAACAAAAACATGCAAAGCCATGGTAGAGGATAATTTTCTACAAACTGACAACCCAAAATTTTTTCTTATTAATAGCTATAACTGATTTATATGCTAATGCTTGGAACAGTAATTTACTTGCAATGCAATGATTGTCCTACACAGTGATTCCCAGCTGGGAGGTTGAGACCCCCAAAAGGGTTCCAAGATAAATCTAAGGGGTAGTGGATGTTTAACAGGACAGGAAAGTAAAAAAAAATATATGTATATATATATATATACACATACATACATACGTACATATATATTGTTGTGCCATAACATATGTAATTCAATTTTATTCTTTTGTCAAATCGTTGCTTTTTGCTTGATGATTACTAGATACATTAATGTCTGCAAATATTTGAAAAGTGAATTAAAATTCACTCTTTGAACTGGTCACCAACAGTAGACAACCTGCCATAATGGATTGCAAATAGTCCTAACTTTGTCATAAGGCAATTTAAGTGATATTATATGTGTAGAAAGAAAGAAAAACAATACTTTCAACCAAAGACAAAAAATGGGAAGGCAAGTTAATGAAGAGTTTTTTTTCATTATGTTTGGCACAGGGGGTACAAAATGCATACACCTTTCAGCTGCACCTATTTGAGTGTACAACTTTTCATTTAATTTCAGAACTGAGATTTGAGTTTGTCACTATCTGTGCTGCTTTTCTTTCTTGATTGCTTAATTTGAGATTTTTCAGCACTGGTTTGGTGAAGCACACAGTTCAATTATATCACCTTGGGATTTAGACAGGTGTCATAGGCATACTTTTGCTGTGTTTTGTTTTTGTTTTTTTTTACATTTTACAGACTAAACAACTAAACAGTTAATCAAGAAAATAATAAACATATGATCAGGTAATGAAAATAATTGTTAGTCGCATCCTCAGTAGCATATAAATTTATTCTTAAAACCATATTAGCATCAGTGTGGTTAAAAACACCCCAGGTCCTAGTTACTCTGAATTCTTTAGACACACATGAGGTGTCAGTTCACCACTCACCACTTTGATACCAAGGTAATATTTTCCCTTTTCTTAATTTTACACATACAGGACAATGCCACGCTTGCAGTCTGGTGTGTGGAAGCATTTTACCCCAGCCATCAAAGATGGGAGGGAAACCTTCATGTGCAACTACTGTTCAAGGACATACACAAAGAACGCCACCAAGATGCAGATGCATTTGGACAAATGCAAGGAGTACTCTGTGGTTTCACAGCAGTCACCAGGCCCAGATGGGAGCTCCTCTGCCTCAATCCCTGTTCCCTCATTCTCCTTTTTACCATCTGCCACTTCTGGGGGACCGTTTCTCATTGATTCAGTGGATCAGCGCAGCCAGGCGTATGCTGATGAGAGCCTGGCGAGAGCTGTGTATGCCACTTCCTCACCCCTCACTCTCACAGACAACATTTATTGGAAACGATTTTTCAGCGTGCTCCGGCCTGCTTACTGCCCACCCACCAGAGAGGCTTTGTCCTCTCATCTGTTGGACTGTGAGTATGACAGAGTACAAAACCAGGTTCAGGAGGCAATAGGGAAAGCAGACTGTGTCAGCATCATATGCAGCGGCTGGTCGAACATAAAAGAATCCGGAACTATCATTTATATTGTGGCGACTCCTGTACCACTGTTCTATAAATGCACAAAGACAAAGGAGCAGATACATGCAAGCACATTCATTGCTGAGGAACTGAAAGATATCATAAATGAAGTGGGGCCTCAAAAGGTCTTTGCTATCATCACTGATGACGCTCCAGAAATGATGGCAGCTTGGGCTCAAGTAGAGGAAGCCTTCCCACACATATCAGCTATTGGCTGCACAGCATGTGCCATCCAGAAGCTCTTTGATGACATGGTGGCACAGCCGTCTATTAAGGCACTGTGCAGGAGAGCTGAGCAGGTGGTAAGGTATGTCAGAGAGCGAAAAATATTAGCAGAGACCTTTAGATGCTGGCAGTCGACAAAGATAAGAAACCACACGTCTAATGGGACAACACTGGCTCTGCCTACAAGCTCTGACTGGACTGGTGTGCTTAACATGTTCAGCAGCCTCCTGGAGGGTCAGAACTCTCTACAAGAGATGGCCGTCTCACCCACACTGACTGTTGAGGCATCCATCAGGGCCACTTTACAGGATTCTGCATTTTGGAAAGGGTTGAGTAGCAGTCAAAACCTGCTGTACTTGATTGGGAATTCTGTTGATTACATGAAACGAGAAGATGCTGTACTCTCTGGTGTTGTTGACATGTTCAGTCAGTTAAGATACCACATTGGAGCCTCCCTGCCTGGGTCTGTGCTGCACAGTGGTGAACAGAAAGCTGTCATGGCATCATTAGACAGGTGTCAGGAGTTCTGTGTAAAGCCCATTCACGCAGCAGCGTACATGCTGGATCCAAAACATGTTGGACAGCAGACACTCTCCGGGGAGCAGATAAACAGTGCTTACTACGTGATATCCAGCCTGTCACACCATCTAAATCTTGATGAGGGTAAGGTGCTTGGCAGCTTTGCCAGGTTCTCAGCCAAACAGGGACTATGGAAGGGAGCTGGGATATGGAGCTCATGCCAGCACGTGTCTGCATCCACCTGGTGGAAAGGGCTGTGTTCCTCTGAGCCACTGTCCGCTGTGGCCTCTGCTATACTCCAGATCCCTCCAACAACAGGTGCTTGTGAGCAGCTGCGGTCTCGCTTCTGCAGTACAAAGGTCCAGGGCTCTCTCTCAGCTGACAGGTTGCAGAAACTGGTAGCAGTACAGGTCAATCTCAACCTTTTAGAGCCAGGTGATTGTGAGTTTGCTCCGCTGGAGAGTGAGGAAGAGAAGAAAAGTTCATTTCATTCTGAGTCTCAGTAAAAAGACAACTGAGATATCTGGATATTTGTGGAGCAGATCAGGTGTTTCCCGTAGCAGTCTGCTGCTGCAAAATTATTGAAGTTTTTACCAGCTATGTTTTGCTGGCCCTCTCTGTGTGCCTGTCATTCATGCATCATGCGTGGCGAGGGACTGGGCTGCTATTTTTCTCCAAGTGAGGAAATGTAATATTCTCATGTAGCATAACGCAGTTGAAAATTGTATACATTTTTTCATTTAAAGATCCAATCATCACTAAAGTGAATGTCATGCAAGACATCCGACATCAGCTCATGCATTGAGTAACACGCAAGAAAACACTCCACCTTAAAAGTTGCCAGTAGCTGCTGGTAGCCTTTGAGTGATCAATTGCATAATTTTTTTTCAACCTTACTATTGTCAACTGGTAGAGATAAAAAAAAGAAGCAAATCATCCTTTCGTTCATCATTCACTCCTCTGACAGTTACTTTCTCTGTGATGCATTTGCAAAGACGCCTAATAAACTTGGACAGTTTGTGCTGCGTCCACAGTGCAGCTGGAAATGAAAGCTCGCTCAGCTACATTTTCATAGCCGAGCCTACAATCTTAGTGAAATGAAATCGTTCAAAACACAAACTACTTGTGTTCATTCTCCTATATTGTTTAACGCCAGGCTAATACAACTACTACAACCTACTACATCCATGGTATCATCACATACTGCTTAGCTAGATGTTTGGCTGACTGCCACCTAATATTCTCAACATTATGTCAGTCTGACATTTGATCGTGTGGTCAGTTATAGTTGATTGACGTGTGTAAACTTGACACTGTAGTAACAGTGGTTACATAACCTTCGAAACAAGCCACAATTTAACTGTGGTGCACTCCGGTACGGAACATATAGCATTAACCCCTCCCTGGGCCAATCCTGCCACTACTGATTATAATACTGAAGAAAATACAAGGGGAAACACTGTTGACCACATGGACTGTGATTCTCACTCTTTGAGAAGGAAATTTACAATAGCCAAGTCCACAAATAAACAGACAGCTTTTTAATTAATTTAATGATTAAATGTAAATTAATTAAAATTAAATGTAAATTTCTCATGAAATGTTTGAAGTTAGGCTGAACTTCCTCAGCTGTGTTTCACTGTGGTCACATTCCTCTCTTCACTGCAAGGCCTGTGAAAAAATGAAATGCATAAAGAGTGAATGAATCACACACTTTCAAGTGTTTTAACAAACACAATTTGTATTCAAGTAGTAGGTTTGTTTTGTTTTTTTTATCAGTTTCAACTAGTATGTGTCAACTTTATAATCACAACATGAAATATTAACAGACAAGAGGTTGAATCTTCTTTGTTAGGCAGTTTACATGTTGTAAATAAAAGCATTGTATTTATTGAAGATTTTGTCTGTTCTGAGTTTATACCCGGGTCAAGGAAATAGAAAATCTCTCCCAAAAAGTGGGTTTCTGCAGAATTAAAGAAAATAATCTTAGTTTAGCACAAGCCATCCCAAAAAAAAAAACAGTGGAAAACAATAAGTTGTGGCATAGGCATTTTTATTTCTCAGGAGCAGTTATTATAGAGTCTTGTCGTTGTTAAGTTGCCAGGCAACAAGTGGAGACTTCAGGGAAGAAATAGTTCCCCACATATCCCCCAGTAAAACTGCAACTTGATGTGTTTAAACTATGAACTTTGATCTTTAGAGGTGCTCGTAGGCAGAGACAGAGCCGGGCTAGCTGCTTCTCCTAATTTCCAGTCTTTATGCTTTATGCTAAACTAAACAGCTACTGGCTATAACTCTATATTCACTGGACAAAATGAGAGTGAGTATAAATCTTTTCATCTAACTCAACATCAAATAAACATATTTGCACTATTGCTTTAAGGAACAGATAACTCCTATCCATCAGTTAAACTTAAGCACTTTTCACCAAAGATATTTAATAAAGAAAGATAATAAAGATTTAATAAAACATAAAATATAGTTTTAGAAAGACAAAAACTGCAGCATCCCAAAGAACTTCTGTGGTGCTGCACTGAAGCACAGAGTGTTTTCTCACTCCCATTTCTCACACACACTCACTGTCAGCCTCTGTGCTGTGTTCTGCTGGTGGTTTGTCTCAGGGCAGCCTCGGGGTTCTGAGGGGAGACCTGGGCCTTGTAAATACTAGCATTATTAATCTTAATAGCAATGAGCCAGGACGGCTCTGGAGGTGTCTGCCTCGAAGGCAGCAGACCTGCCGTAAATCTCAGATACTGTTTTCTCCACCGCATCACTCAGTAAATCTATCACTACCTACATCTTCCCTCCCTCTCTCTCACAGTTGCTTCACTCTGCTGCCTGTTGTCTGTTTTGCAAGCGGGTTTTGTCTGCACTGACAACAGATGTGTGGGCAACAATTAGAGAGATGGCATATATCATTTTACAGCTGCAGATTCTCATGATGATGTGTGCCGTTTTTGACTGATGGCGGTGCGTTGGTTGATTTTAAAGTCGCCCTTTGTGTGATTTAGTCATACCAGGCAGAATGCATGAAATCACTGTTCACTCGGGTTGTGGTTTCATCCTTGTTTCATCATTTGTAGCAAGCCTAGATTATCAGCATTACGGTCCTGTAAGGTTTTAACAATGTCACAGTATAATCAAAACAACACAGATAATTCAATAGAATACAACTTTGTAAACTACAAGTTTGAACATCTGGTGTTATTTTACATTTTTCTTATTCTCAACACCAAAATCAACTGTTGGGTCATCCCCAGTGGCACTCGGCCTCAAGCCCAGTAATTCCTACTAAAGACATAAATATTTAAAAACAGTAGTATCAAATATAGGGTTTATTACTTTTGAAAAGGCCAAGTCATTTTTTAAAGTAGCAGGGAAGTGTAGGAGTAGGAGAATAGAGAAGTGAATTAATGCACCTAGTGCATAGTATACAGCAGGGCATGTATGTGAGATTAACTCAAAATTAACTAGTCCCTGTGTTCAATGGATTGTCACCCAATGCTATGTTTTGGCTCATTTCCATGTTTGTGGACAACAATGGAGGTCTGCAGCACAGAGGAGTGAGCTATACCAAGCTATACAATATTAATAGAATATAGAATATTACATGCATTATCCTTTAAAAGTTACTGAAGACTTGAATCAGCCCCTCTCATGTAAAGAATGAACTATTACAAGTAAATAAATGAAATAGTTAATTGTATCGCATTATGTTTCGCGTACCTCAGTGTTACTGGTACCCACTCTCTATAGTGAGCAAGTGCAAGTATGAGTCATAAAACAATAAAATATATATTGTACAACTTAAAAATTGGCTTGATGATGGTGCAAGATGAAAGTTCAAATTTATTACAGTTCATCCTAAGGGGTACATAAATGTCTGCACAAAATTTTGTGCCAATCCATTCAACAGTTGAGATATTTGACAGTGTTAAAATGGACTGACCGACAGACCACAGAGTGGCTAATAGGCACACTGGATGAAGACCAGTCTATCTATGATGGGATGTTCCCACTCATCTACACATTTGTCAAGCTATAGTCTAGGGTATATTGTCTCTGTGTGTTCTCATAAAAAAGGTTGTGGCATGACAAAATGACATCCCATATTCTACAAAGTTTACACTCTAAAACTTACAAGTTTTAACCATGCACTGTTACATTTTGACACTCATGAGAACTCATGCACTGATTTACTGTATGTCTACATGCAAACAAGAGGAAATTATATGTTACATTTCAGCATGAGCACAGGTCACCACTGAAGAAACTCTCACTCAAGCTCTCAACAGTTTTTACCACGCACACACACGCCCAAGAATCTCAGAGGGTGGTCTGGCAATAATGACGAACAATGGAAAATATTTTACTTCCCTTGGAGAATTGTGATTGGGATACTGATTAAGCTGTCTGAATTCCCTATTTAAGTCTCTATACAGCACATTACCCACCAAGTCTCTGGACAATATGAGAGCAGATTATAATGTATCTCTTAACTGTAGAGGGGTACCATGCCCTGTGTAGTTCTGGGATGTACAGCACAGTGCTCGCTTAGGAACATATTACAGTCCAGTAATTAATGTCAGATGAGATCGGGTGTAATTTTGTAATCTAATCAGGTCCATAAAGTATAGCTGCTGTAACAGCTGGTGCCAATCCAACTGTAACTCCCCAGTCAAGGACTGATACTATTATCTTTGGCTGGAACAATGGCTGGCTTAAGCTGAGACTGTGTGTATGAGACGGAGAGAGCAAGTGAGCAACCAATGGGTTGCTTACACTGCAAACAAAAGCTAGCTTGTCTGGGTATCATTGAGAGAAGAAAGCTATATTTTTACACTAGTATCAATGGCTGAAGGACCTGAATATAAAACCCTGAGGGGAAAGGTACAGGGTAAGATTTCATCAGCAAGTCTTCCACTGTTCATTCTCCCTCTCTATGTAGAATATGCTGCATCCTGTACACTGTCTCTTTACATCTTGTATTTTGATCGCCTGCTACGTTCTCTACATTTCTCACATACTTCCATGACTGCCACATTGCAAAGAAGCACTTGTTTTATGAATGTGTGAAGTTGAAAAGTTAAGGAGTTACAGTAAAGTATATTTTTCTTCATATGTACTGATGTAGTCTGTCAAAATGTTAAATGTCAAATTCAGCTGTTGCGTTAGCAGTTGTTACTGGAGCTACAAAGTCACTGTGAAAACTGCTGACAGTCTTTGGATTATCCAGAGTAACAGAGAGATCATTTCTGTAAGGAGATGTGGTTTTGAATTTTTGAATAGTTCAGTATTTTAGGAAAATATATAGTAGTATAATATATAGTTTATCTGCATTCTGAGAGTGAAATGAAAAGATTGATGCCTCTCATGTCTGTATTAAGCTTGCAAGGAAGCAATTAGCTAATCTTTTGAGACAAACCTGGAGATGGACTAGACACAGCTAGCCTGGTTCTGTCCAGGCTAGCCAAAGTGAATAGCAGCACTTTCAAAACAAAATTAATGAACACGTATCTCAATTGCTAAATCCATAGCGGAACTGAAACCACTATTTGTGTTTGTTTACAGAATAAACATCTTTAATGTGTGTTCATTGGAGAGCTTTACAGGTGTTTGTAGGTGTATTTTTTCTCTTCAGACAGAGCTAGATACTTCCTCTATCTTCCACTCTTTCTGTTACGCTAGGCTAACACTGCTTCATTGTTCCATTTCAGACAAAAGATTGCAATTTATCTTCTTAACTCACTCTAGAAAATGAAGCGAATAAGCGTATTTACCAACATTTTGAACTATTGTTTTTAACATAATTTTGGTTGAAATCCTAGAGGTGGTATTTATAAACCTATGAAAAAATAAGGCTAAGTGCATTTTTGTTAACTGGAACTATTTCAGAAAGCGACTGACTGTAGCCTCCAATCTTCCCTGAAGACGTAGCGCTGCTCAGAGGGCGTATTATAACCTCTTGTCTAGTAAACACAGCGATGGCTGAAGCTCTTGTCAAGCAACAATCACCAGCACCCACTCCTGGCATGACACCATGTTTGGTGGCAGAGAAAACTTACAAATAAGCCACCTTTAGTGTCGTAGGGTCAAGCGCAGAGGGCAGGAGTCTTGACGTAAGTGTGTCAGCAAACCTGCACATGGGGATAACACACAGTACAAACTCCACACAGACCAGGGTGGAAATTTGAAGCCAGGACTGTCCTGTTGTGCGGAGCCAGTGCTGGCCACTCATCCACCCTGCCGCCCAGTTCATGGACCTAATGGGATGTTTCTGATTTTGAAATGCAGACATTTTTTGACCTTGATATAAATTTAAATTTTCTGTAGATTCCTGCCTACATGCCTGACTCTGTGGTGGGTACAGCCAGGCTACAAATTGCCTCCTCACCAAGCCCAGAGTGGCTGACCAACTGCGTCAGAAGGCTGAGGCTTTATTTAGAGATGACTATTGTGTCAGACTGTTAGGCCAAGTAGCCGCTGCTAACGTTCAGCCTACTGTAATAACAGACCGGCAACAATTTGTGGCTAGAGCCTCACAACGTTTTCTCATTCCTCACCCAGGCCAACACCAACCCACCCGTCAACCCGTTCCCCTCCCACCCCGAATCTGAAAAACAAAAAACAACAGATGGGCTGTGCCAAGGAGACTGCGAATGCTCCTGGCCATTACCACAGTAAGGAGCCAGAGGGGTGGTGGGAGGGTTGAGCTGCTTGGGTTGCAGATATGTAAAGTAACCTGGTGGCAAGGAGAGTCTATGCGCTCCCCTGCTTCTCCTGTTCTTGCTGCTCTCAGCACCTCATAATGCTTTTATAATTACATTCCAACCCAGATGAATCATGA